AAACATCTGGTAGAAAATGTGCTTTCACAAGATGCTGAAAGGCTCTCCTAAATCCCCCCAAATTTTCCGTAACAGCTCCTCTGAGTATCTCTGAAGCTTCAGTAACCCAAGGAATTTTAATATTATTAAATAGCAGAAGATTTCACATTTTGCATGACTTCATCAAAACTGGGCCTTATTTTAACAAGCATTTGGAAAACCACTTTTCAATTTAGCCTCTAGTTTAGCCTGCTATTTTATGTATTTTTCAGCAGAGTTCTTGATGACTTCTGCTAACAGTCCTTTATTTTAAAGGACTTTTTGTAATTATCTCTCTTTGCAAATACCAGAAAAACTTAAAGGGAAAAAGCAATGTCTGCCTTTGAAAACATAGAAAAAAGGCAGTGTCAGAATTCATGATTTTTCACACACCTGGCAATGGTTGTGGCAGGTCAGAATAGTGCCACTGAGGAATTTCAGCTCAAAGGCCTACAAGAGGAATATCTGGGGATGTTGGTGGGACTAGTGGAGGGACAAACAGAAGAACGAAGACACCCTCTCAATATCTTATGATTTTGCATAGCAAAAATTGGGGGGATTAACAGGAACGGCTGAAAGTCTTTGTGCACAATCAAAACTGCAAGTTAATTGGCATAGCAGGCACTCATTCAGGTAATTTACCTGACTAGAATATTAATACAGAAGAGTATAACTTGCTCTCAAAGGGTGGGGAGGGCAAAGCAGAGTGTTTTCTTAAATATCAAGATTATACTACAATTGTCCTAAGGCCCAGGATGGGAAAGAAAATAGAAGGATTGCAAGTTTGTGGGTGAAAGTAACAGGAAAAATCAAGGGCAGTGTCACAGCTTTGTGTGCCACTGAAGCAGGAAGATGAAGTGAATGATGCTTTTGTAAACTGATAGAACTGTGTGAAAGCGCTGGAACCCGGTGAAATGCAGAAATTTAACTGTTCTGGACATGTCATGGGAACCCAGGAAAACAGGAGACAAATCAGCTCAAGGTTTGAAGCAAAACAAAACCAATGGGCATCAAGAAGTCATTTATTCAATAAAAACACAGAGTTGTAAAGATTCTTTGGGGAACAGGTCTGAGATATCCAATAGATCTGACAATTCCTTTAAAAAACTGTATTAAAGGCAGAACCATAAACTCTGCCAATGTAGAAGCATGTTAAGAAATGAATGAAGCTAAATCAGGACTTTTTCAATGGCTTAAAACACATGAAGAGAGTATAGGAAGTTGGAAATTAGGTCAAACTGCAAAAAAAAAAAGGGTATAAACATGTGGGGATAAATTAAAGGGGCCGTGACAAAAAAAAATTTACATATAACTAGGTAATTTACATATAACTAGGTATTCTAAAGGAACTGTAGTAGGAAGAAGGAAATCAAGGGAGAAAATCATGGGCCAATTAATTAAAATATTTACAGGCTTCTAAAAGACAACAAAGAGAGAAGCAGCAGCCAAAATCAGTTTGTCAAGAGCAGACTATGTCAAACCAAACCAATTTTGCTCCATGACAGAGTAACAGGCATCAAGAATAGGAATGACTTGTAGACTTGGTATCTCTTGGGCTTCAGTGGGTTTGTGTCACTGTGCCACAGAGGTCTTGCATGCAAGGCAGGGAAACATGAAATTACTAATCAGCTGCCTGAAAATGTGTTTTGAGGTATCACAGATTCATTATTAAAGTAGAAATGGGTTATTGAATGGGGTCACACACTGGGGGTCTTTTCTGGTCCAATACTATAGAACAGTTTTTAGTAATGACTTAGTAGAATATAAAAAGTTTCTCTCATCTGAAGATAACAGCAAGTGGAGGTCATGGTCAAGGATAGGGTGATAATTCAAAATTTTGTTGAAAAATTCTGAAAACCAGGTTGAAAGTCAACTAGTAACTTCAAAATTACACTGCCAGGAAGGGCAGAGGGTAAGGACAGACTTTGTACTGCAGGAAAAAACACTGGAGCTATAGTAACCCAAAGTTTAACAAGACCCAAAAGCATCAGAGTGTTTTAAGAAGAGGTGGACATTATTCAAGGATATAGAAGAAAAGATGGAGAGAAGCAGGTATGAGACTTTAAATGCCTAAAAAGTAGCTGTGAAACTACCTCCACTCTGTCATTTTTCTTTGGGTTAATATAATCACAAAGCATTGTAGTGACTGGATCAAACCCTTTCCAGACCTGCCACAGACCAATGAGTGCTGTATAGTTGAAGTTGTATAGTTAGAAGTTGTATAGTCCTTTCTCCCCACTATAGATCTCAAGGTTTTAATAATTTTACCTAAACAGATGCAGAAATTTTATTTAATCTGGTTTTATTAGTCTCAGATGAGTGCTGCAGATCTCTAGATCTCATTGACTGTGGTACATATACTAATAAATAGAAAACTGATGAGCTTTAGGCCTCCCTCCTTGTGTTCCTTCCTCTCTCTGGTCAACAACGCCACCAATGAACTGATAGAAACAGAGATTTTCACATCATTATCTGCCTGTCTGTTGCAGAGTATAAAACATACGGATAGGCTAGAGAGCTGGATGAGGTGCTGAAAAAAATGTCCAGGTGCAGGGAATGCATGAAAGGACAAAAGCATATTTGCTGTTAAGAAATCTGATTTTTAGTATTTGGTATTTGTGACACTTTACTGAGGTCCAGCATTAAAAGACATTTAATCACTGGCATCCACAAAACAATATATGACTTAAATTATTTGAGCAAAGGCATTTCCCACAAATATTTAGTCTGGTACCTTTCTTGAGCCAGGTAGTAGCTGAAGTTTGTAATCCTGCAAGTTTTGTCTGCAAGGAGAGAAACAGATGCAGGAGCTGTCAGCTCTGACATGATCCACTTTATTTACCAAGAGTGTACACAAGACGAATGAAAAAGACCCTATTGTTTCTTTGCCTTTTTTTTTTTTTTCAGAGTTTGTGATGCTGTGCCTGGTGTTTTCTTGCTCACAGCTTCCCTGGCCTTTTGTTTGTTGCATTCCTAGGCAGGAAAACAAAACCCAGGGATTTCTAATACCCAACCTCCATCATTCCCTGCATTATATCAGCTCCAGTGTGGCCTTATCACAGATCCTTGTTCCTCACAGTGGTCTCTATTGTTTAAATTACCTGATTGCACAGCCACAATCAGTGATTTTAACAGCTTTTTTACATTTGGACCACGTGGAAGATACCTCCTGGACTGATGGGGTTCAGCTGTGCTGAAACAAACCAGTAGCACCATGTGTTGCCTGCATTGAGAAGCATCTCACAAGTATTCACAACAATTATGGGAAAAGCATTGGGAATTGTGGGGGTTCAGGCAGATACACCTGCAGTGTTTGCCCTGGGCCTGATCCAAACCTTTCTGAAGTCTATAGAAATATCCCCACTGATGTTAGTGGGCTTTGGATGGGGACCAAGGCTGCTCCAGAGACCTTCCTCTGGCAGTGCTCCCATTGAAGTCAACGAGATTATTCCCTGGCATAATAGACCTCACCGTCAGGAAGATTTTAATGATATTCAACCTGCATCTTCCATGCCTTCTGATCACCCCATTATTCCTAGTTATGGCTCGTTATCTTCCTTTTCCAGAGACCCAATCCTAACCTCCTTAGTCAGGCACAATTCATGCCAGCTCCAATGAAGGATGCAGGATTTCACTGATATCTTAATATTCAGAGACTGCTGCAATGCCCTCCTGTGATGTCATCACACAAGGAAAAAAACACATGGTATTTTTGGCTGCAGAGACCATGGAGCTGAGCCTATGACCATACTGAAGAAAAATGAAACGACTTGCCAGTACAATTTCAAGACATAAAGCAATATGAATTTTTAAATAACTTTTGATCTTATAAAAACATTTTATCATCTTTCTATCAGATGTACATCCTCATAGCTGTGTAAAAATCCATAGCAAAATTATTGGGAGTAGTTTTCTTTCGTTAAGAACTCAACATTTGTGGTTTCGAATAGCTTTATAATTTGGAGTGGACAAGACAGATAACGAAATACTTCTTTCTCAATAATCATTTATTATATATAATTTGGCCTTTCTGGATGGTTGGACTGGAACCCATCCTAAATTACCAATAGTTAAATACTTCTGATATGTACTAAAAATGGTAATTTCCTATAGAATTGTATTAAAATCTTGTATTTTATTTAGAATTGAAACATTACATATCTCCTATGGTGTTGGGACAAGAGTCCTCTCTTTGTGTGTGATTTTGCAGCAATGGGCATGCAATGACAGGGGTTTTGTCGCAGTACAGTAACACTAAGGATAATATTTATATTAGATAAAATAATAATACCAGGTAAAAGGAGATGTGTATGGACATTACACAGTACATATTAAATACCCCAAAATATGTTACCATCCCCAACACCATGGGCTTCCTTACTTTGTTCTGAAGAAATGGCATGAATTCCTCTAGCATGGATACTTGGGACTCCCTAGTGAGGACATGATTTTTGCATTTAGGAATGTCAGTGATGGCAAACCACTTTTTTTCCTCTACGTGCTCAATTTCACCTTTTTTTTTCATATCTCAGTGATCAGTCATTGTAGATTTACATGTGCATTCCCTTTGCTATTAGTTACATTCACTTTTCAGTAACTGCCCAGACATCACATACATTAAGAATTAAAAATGTAAGATATTATTGCTGCTCCGTGTCCATCATTGTGGCCCTGACTTGCCCTGCCTACCCTAATATTACACTGGATTATGGCAAACGGAGCTCTCTGAACCACTCCCTTAATGAGATAAACAAAAACACCCTCATGTTTGTGCAGTTATGGAATTGTTCTCACTGAAATTCTGTGTATTCCAGAGCCTATGAGCCCATCCAGCCTGCTTCAATACATCATTCTGTCCATGGGAGCAGACTTGGGTTAGTTTTTAAGTGAAATTAGAAAGTCACATTAACCATTGTGTGAATATCTACTCTTTATTCTAAAAACAATCTTTTGTGACATATAGTAAAAACTGTCCAGTTAAATTTAGACATATTTGAAAAGCAACTGGTTTTGTAGCCAGTGTGACATGAACACCATTTTTATCTGATATTACATGGATTTCACAGAATAAATGTTGGGCTGTCAGCATCTCCTACTGCCATTAACCTTCTTTTCCTCATTAATAACCAACCTGGAGCTGTAAGAGCCACCCATGAGTTCAAGCAAACCAACCAATCCCCTTCCCCAGGCTTTGAGGCTGAGCAGAGTAAGAGAGATATATGTCTGCTGCAAAATATTTGGCTCACTCCTGCAGAATTCATTATTTCTCCAGTAAATGCAACATGGCATTTCAACATGTTTGTATTGTGACTTCACTAGTTTTTGTTATGTATTTGAAATATAATGATACTCGATAATAGTTCATGGCAGAGTTATTTTTAAAAAGTATAATAGTGACAGCATTCAGGCATTCAGACATTCAGATATTTACAATCCGCAGACAACAGCTTTTTACTGCATTTTTTTGGTTTCACCTACTTAGCCATTCCATCCCTAATAGAATAACCTAATCCATGTATACCAAAAGTACTGTTAATATCCCAGACCTGGAAAATTAGCCAAAAATCCACAGAAAGATAAGCATAATAGAACACTGGTGATTAACACATACATTTAGCATAATGGATCCCAGCATCAACATCTCCTGTACATTCTTCCCAATTCAGACCAGTTTTGTGCATCTCAATGGTGGTGGTTATATCTGATGAAACAGCAGAGCTACAGCAAAGAAACAATGTACAAAGAATGTTTGTAACGTAATATGAAAATGGTGTTCAGGTTTTTAATACACTGTAATTGACCGCACTGATTTTTTTTTTCTGTGAAAAGATAATTTGGTATGAAAATCATGCAGTACTTAAATAATGTAATTTTGATAATGACAGTGAAATATAATTTCTGTAAGGCAAGTGAATCACAAACTTTTTCTCATTCAAATTAAGTGTATAATATGTCTGAATGCTGTCACTATTATACATTTTAAAAATAACTCTGCCATGAACTATTATCGAGTATCATTATATTTCAAATACATAACAAAAACTAGTGAAGACGCAATACAAACATGTTGAAATGCCATGTTGCATTTATTGGAGAAGTAATGAATCCTGCAGGAGTGAGCCAGACTTCTTCTTCTAGACATTTTATCACAGTATTTTTAAAGAGCTGAACCTTCCCCATGTTAAGCTGAAAACTGAAATTGAGATAGGCTTTGACCTTCCAAAGATAAACATGAATTCCTATGGATATTCAAGGTTACTGTTGCTTCTTGTGTTGTGCCAGGCTTTGGAGACAGAGGAGTTTGATCTATTAAGGGTGAAATTGCACTATTGGTAAAAATGGTCTTTATTTGTGCCGTCCATCTTGAGACTGCAGAGGAAGCGGCATCACTCCACTTCTGGGAGACCTTAAAGGAAGTTGGATGCACGGAGAGGTCACAATGCAAGAAGGTATCCGAGCAATTCCTGTAAGTTAGTACCTCAGTTAGGTTTTTTATATCTAATATTCCTGCCTTTTTTTTTTCTCGGGGCTTCCTCCTCCACCCCTTCACTGGAGACCCACACATTCCTACTCCTGCTTCTCAGAGAAAAGGCTCCTGGAGAAGGCTCGTGCTATCTCCACACACACTTCGATGTTTATAACTGATGGGGCTCCTCTCTTTGCAGCTGGGAAGTGGAGAGGAGCAGAGAAGCTGCACCACATCATAGGGGTCACTGTGTAAACTGAGGTTGAGTGTCGGGTGGATGATGAGTTGATTGTGCCCCCTTTGATCTGTGCTCACATCTGACCCCTGCACGGATCAACCCTTTGTCCAAGGCTGCTGAAGACACTGGGCATCCTCTGCTCTTTCCTCCAGTGTGTGTTTAAAGTGGAACATATATATGTAATGTTCCCTTATGCTGCTCTGTTCTACTCCCAATGATATATTTTATATATTGCAAATTTTACTCCTTACCAAAAATACATCATACTGGAAGCAAACTGAGTCAAGTGTTGTCAATGTGCCCGTAATTCCTTTGCAATTGTGTGAGGTGTGAAATTCGCTCAACTGTTCTCACTGGAAGATCTGAAGGGTGGGAGATAAAAAAATTAATTTCTGCCAAGTGGGCAAGGACAAATATAGATTATGTATATCTTATTTCTCTGGAATGAAGATGGAGGAGTTGTGGTTCCAAGAGACATCCTCAGAAGAAAAAGGAAAGGAACTAGGACAAATATTTTCTTTCCTTTTTCATCATATATATGATAGATGCAAAGAGACAGTAATGGTTTATTACACCAAAAGGTAAAATAAATGGTTGATTCAGCTAAATTGAAGTTCAAAATAGAAAAAAATATGCAGAATGTCCATGGTACAAACTTCTTAAAACAAGGTATTTCTCTAACTCATGAAGAAAACCAGAAATAACATTTTTTGTGGTGGATGGATGATCTTTTTGATTTTTTTTAAAATGGTTTTAAGAAAATTTTACTCTCTACTTGAAAATTATGATCCAGTCATAAAAGCAGGCATTCATAATGAGAAATTTAGTTATGAATGAAAGCTGGGATTCACAATAAAACACCCATTGGTGTTGGTGATTTTTTGCCTCTCAGTCATTACCTGAGTGTGGCACTAGGAGGCAATCTGCTATTAGAGGTGTCATCCCTCAGACATCGAAGTCTGGGAGTATCGAGATATTTCAGCACCAAATGGTACCGTTTATGACCAGTTTTTTATGTGTCATTACCACCATCACCTTGTCTTCCATCTGCTGTTATACAATGGCAGACTGGTGATTAAAAATACCTTCCTGAGACTCTGGTCACACTTTTGGCCAATAATTCCAATTTCTAATATCTCAAATAAAGGAGTGAGGTTTAAGTGAGGTTATATTTAGACTCAGGTGGTGACAGGGTTGTCACAGCCAACCGCCTGAGTTGACAAGACACATGTGTTCCCAGGTACACCCATAAGCAAACCAGCTCAGATAACCTGTACAAGGAATATTTATACACCTCTTTCTGCTGTGGACTCTTCTAGGGTAGAAAGCAGCCAAAAAGGGGCTAGGGTTAAAAACCAATAGTTTGAATTCAGGTACAAAGGCAAGAGCCATTTCAGCTCTTCCTCGATGTTGACTGCTTGACTTTGCTGTCTTACATCATCTTATTTTGATAAAAGTTCTTTTGTTGTTGTTTGGGAGCGAATGTATATTTACACACTTTTATTAATTCTGTAAAATACTTGGAAGTTCTGAAAGAACCAAGACAGAGTTGGAAACATGGTTTTAAAAATGCTTTCACAAGTGTTTACTAAGACAGAAAGTTGAATTTGACTTGGAGCACTTGTTTGTGCTCCTTTTGTTTACTTTATGTGAATATTTTAGCTAATAGGTTTACTGTTGGGATTGTTTATGGGAACGGCACATTTTAAGCAAATATTTCAAAAAATTTTCATGTATATTTTAGACTGGCAAAGGCAAATGCTTTCACTAGAAATCTAATTGTAAGCTTTACTGTTTACAGTATATGCTTTATTACACAGTCATTAAATCAGAAAGTATGTCTATGGACACGTGGGTTTATGTTCAGTAAGGAACTACTAACTCGTGGGTTAAACAGCAGCTACACAAAAGACATCAATGACTCTCAAGAATTCTAGATATTAAGTACTTTCATTTATTTATACATTTATAAATGTATAAATCCCCAGACCTTTCCATTCCCTCTGACACTGCTCTTTGCATAAGCCACTATTAAAGTCTGTGTTCCAAGTGCTGGGATGTGTTGTGGTATCGTTGGGCAGATCAAACAATACAAGAAAATAGATAATGCACAGTTTCCAGACAAAACAGAGACTTTTGAACTGGGACCAGTTCAAAACTCACAATAAATTCATTGTTAGTCTGCTTAATGCAATTCTTCATCTGCAAATTCTCTTGCAGCTTTGAAATCTTATCTGGCATCTTGAGTTTTAAAACCACTCCCTTCACACTTTGGAAAAAAAATAGTAATTCTGTTTGTGTGTCTGTAAAATAAACATAATTAACATAGGTGGTATATGGAATCAACGCTGCCTGTAAGCAAAGAGCTTCACAATTAAATCACAGATTTGCTGCTATGCAGGTTGAAAACACGAGCTTGGCCCAGCAGACAGTGATTTTTTTTCCAGGGTCCATAGATTGTTGTTCTATGCCTTGTGTCAGCACAACTGCATCAGGAACTTCAGCACTTGCATCAGCTCACACTAATATTATTTTTAAGACAAAATGGTCCTTGATATGACACTGCCACCCATCAACAGAAACAATTGTGCCATGGAATGTTAATATGAAAGTTTATATATGATAACATTACCATTTGTTTTTAATAATTTTTCCAATGGAAACAACTACTGTTTCAGTGAGTCATTTTATTTTCTTGCATTTCCTGGCAAGTGCTGCAGGACTGTTTAAGGAATAGAAAAACAAGCTGGCTGCAGCTCAGCAGAGAGGCTGATTCCATGGGCTGTGCTAGCTGGAGAATGCCATTTAAACCAGTGGTCTGGACTGGGCATACAAGATGGGTTGCCTTTTTCAGCTTCTAAACTATGCCCTCTTGTACTGAAACACTGTAAAACAACATTAATTAAGACTTCAAATTCAAACCAGAGCTCTCAGAGAACACAGAATCATAGAATTATAGAATCAGACGGGTTGGAAAGGACCTCTAAGATCATCAAGTCCAACCCTTGATCCACTACCATCACAGTTGCTAGACTATGGCACTAAGTGCCACATCCAGCCTCATCTTAAAAACCTCCAGGGACGGAGAATCCACCACTTCCCTGGGCAGCCCATTCCAATGGCTGATTACCCTCTCTGTAAAGAATTTCTTTCTAATATCTAACC